GGTTACTACATTTACCCATATTTTTGAGTCCCCACCCATACCCCGTTGCAGAGACTGCTTTTCTTGATGCAAACCTGACTGTATGTTATGTCTCCACAGAGATAAAGTCACCGATGATACCACAGAACCCAGGCTCATTGACGTGTATGTTAACAGCCTGGCTACATATCCATCTGCAAAAACAGAAGCAAATTCTATTTTCCTAACCAAAAGGAGACTCTGAAATTGAAGTTTTCGGCTTTGCCGTAAGAACAGTTATAAGACAGCCTGGCTTCCTTCGCTTTCCCCACCAAGTGGCATCAGACACCGAGAAGTCACAGGGTTCACACTTCGGGTCGCACTTGGGCTCCGCTGGTCTTGCGCAACTTGGCCAGAAGCTTCACATGCCAGACCAGTGTCCTGGCGTCACGCGGTCATTGCATCGAAGCCACTCGTGGAAGTGGTGGTGCCCCCTGAGGGCTGGTGGGATTTGCAAAGTCTTAATCACTTGGCCCACGTCACGTGCACCGGGATGAAATGAAGTCACAGAAACGCCGAACTCTTGGTCCAAGAAGGAACATCAATATTCAGTCGATGAGACACGAACAGGAGGGGCCTGGACGGGCTTGTCCATAGTGCTGTTACCCCCGGGGACTCCGGGGCGAAGCAGAAGGCTTCCGGAACCCACGGAGGTCCCGCCCGTTCCGGTGCTGCCCTGCACGCTCAGAGGCTGTGTTCTGCCTCTTAAAAAGGGCTCCCAAATGTTATGAGCTTGGGCCCCACAAAACCTGTGCCCACAAGCACAACAAGGTAAAGGGGAAGTTAATTTTAGACATTTACAGCCTTGAAGACACACTTGCAAACATGAACATAGGGGAACTCGGGACCCTTCTCTCTGGAAGATTCCCACAGGGTTCGAATGGGCCCCCTTTCTCTCACCCTAAAACTTGACCAGTCCTTGACCCCCTCTAGGTGCCCCATTTCCTCAAGCCCCTTGGCAGCAAGCTCCTAGAAGGAGGGTGCGCAGGCCCTGTGTCTTCCACTCCTGAGACTATTGCGGCCACCAGTCAGGCTGCCCCCAGTCCCGGTGAAGGCGACCCAGGTCCTCCCGGCTGCTTTGCCCCAAGTGCACTGCCACTTGGTGCCCACACCTCTGCTTGGGGCTCCCCATGGGACCCCGGGTGATGGCCGGCTTCTCCCTCAGGCTCCCCGTAATGCCGGGCTGGGTCCCTATAGCGCTTCTGCTCTCCAGCTGCTGCCACCCCTAAGGAGTGTCCTCCAGTCCCAAGATCCAGAATGCCACCTGTACGGCAGAAAACTTCCCCCTCTGTCTCCCACCCAGCCTAGCCCTCCAAACTAAAGCATGGCCCCAGTCTCCTCCTGGACACCTGACGGGCGAGCCCGAGCTCTTCCTTGTTGGGCAAGGCCCCCCTTCTGGTTGCTCGAGTCACCTGGCCTTTCTGCTTCCCCAGCTACCTGTGTGCTGCCAGCCCTCCCTGCCCTGCAGGTGCCAGCACCCAGCGCCGGGCACCACTTAGCACTTGCTGTGCCCCCCACACTGCCCTGGATGAGTGCAGCTGCTTCCTAACAGTCTCCATTCCTGCTTCCCCATTGCGGAACCAAAGCGGTCGTCCAGTGGGTGTATCCCCAGCCCCGAATCTCTGGTCTCCCCCTAGAGTGCCCCCTCCAGTCCTCTCTCCGCCAGGCACAGTGGGCTCCCACGACGTTTTGGAAGCCCAGGCACGCACTCACCATTCACCTATCCTGCAGTGCAGCCCCCATGCACAGGGCCTGCACCTCCTTCCCATGCATGTCGGAGCACCAGCCTCCCCCCAGCATCGGCCTGCCCCCTCCTCAGTACTCCTTGGGGAGCAGCTCCCATATGCAGGCAGCCTGCGGAAGTGCCCTCCGGCTACCGGTGACCTGGCTGCTGGTGTGCCCCTTTCGTGTGCACAGCAGTCCCCTCACTGGGACGTGGGGACACCCACCTGGCCGTCAGGGACCGTTCACTGGGGAAGGAGTCCTGGGTGCTCAGCATGGGCTTTGGGCGACGAGAGGGTGTGAGAAGGCCGAGGCCACCCCAGCTGAGGTGCCCTAGCAACATGGCTATGACCCCAGTGGGCTGTCTGAGCTTCCCATGCCTGCATCCAGCCTGCCTGTGAGGAGTCCTTGTCACCCCCTCTCTCCACCAGAGCCAACCACCCTGACGTTCTCTATTTTGGCCAAATTTCACCACCACCCTGGTGGAAGCCTGAGTCTCTCAGGGAGGGTCCTTCCTGTCTCTTGTAGCTCCTGGCAGCCCGGGCGCCCCCTGACTCCGGGCTGCAGGGCTCTGATCCTGGCCTCCGCCTTCACACGGCCTCCGGTGCCTTCTCTCCCTTTCCTGTGAGAGCAGCAGTGACGTTGGGTCAGGGCCACCCTAAAGCCCCTCTTGACTTGATCACGTCACTCTGTTGGTGGAAGTAGTCACCAGAGCCCCCCAGACTCCAGGGGGCAGGACACAGACCCCCTTCTCCACAGCATCAGTGGGGGTGAAGGCAGGGCAGGGGGCCAGCTGTGGGAAATGAGACCACCACACAAACGTGATCTCACAGTATCTGCTTGGCAGCGCGGATGAGCCCAAGGAATGTAACAGGTGTACTGAAAAGTAAGCCACCCCAACGAGTTAGGGAATCTTGTTGGAAAACACAGAAATTCGGAACAGAAGTGGAATGGTATGTATCTACCACAGTATGAAACCTATTGAATTATACACGTTTTCTTCTCAAATACTGTGAACTGTTAGTTTATTTCTTTAGTTCATTATGGTAGACATTTACTTTTATTTTTAATATTTAATTTAGTATTTAATAAAATTACAGAGCTAGCATTAAGAAAAATATTATGCATATTTTATGTATATATACACATTTTGTAAAACAATTTAAAATACAATATTAACAAACTGATGACAGAAAAATATGTGTGAAAGGTATTTTGTTTTATCCTACCTAACCAGTCCTAAAGTTTTCTTTTTTTTTTCCCCTGGTGTTTCAGCAGAAGTGAGTGTGTGAGGTTGCATGTGTAGCTGTGTGTATGTATGAACATGCAGAGGTGTGTGTGGTCATGGGGGCGGGGGAGCTGTGCCCTAGAGCCCTGAAGCGTGTTCTGTGTTCACCTGTTGTGCTTCATGTTGCATGTTCGGGAGCTCAGCACCTACTTTTCTTGTATTTGTGACCTCAGCAGAGTCTGTCCCCCTGCTAACTGAAATAGTCAACCATCAACCTTGTACCGGTAGATTGTCTGCCTTGTGAATATAATATGCCAGCAAATTAATTACAGACTGGGATGAAAACAAAGTTCAGTCCTTGTCTAAGCAAGAATATAATTACAAAGGTAAGTCTCTTGATGACGAAAATAAGGATAACTCAAAATGCATGCAGTCTTGTCTACTGGAAGTTATTTAAATGAATTTCCTTCCTTTCGCTTGTGTAATTTAGAATTTAAATCTACAGACAAAAAGTTACTGAGCATGTGTCACGCACAGGACATTGTGCTATTTGCTGCAATATGACATGCTGAAGGTTCCTGCCCCCACTGTCTGAAGTGTGCGAGAGATGGAGGGAATTGCAGAGTGATTTTCTTAGAAATACTGAAGGGGCAACTAAGCTTAGATCAGTCACCCTTTTCTTGTCAAAAGACCCCTTTCAATTTGATTTAGCAAAATGAATTTCTGTTTTGAGAAAGGGTGCATGGCCGGCCACCTTGGGTGAAGTGTGACTCTCCACTAGGAGGGTCTGGCCTCCGCCGTCTGTGCCTGGGGTCTCCCTAGGTGAGAGGGACAAGGAGGGACAGGAGGTGGTGAAGACAGGACCTTCCACAGGCCCCCACTGCGTTGTTAAATACCCCCTCAGGTTCGTTTTCCTTGAGGTACCTGTGAATTTGGGAGCATTATATGCCCAAAAATACACATGGTGTGATTTCATAAATACTTTAAAAAGTTTTAACTGGCAAGCCTGAAGTCTGCAGAGAAGGCTTGTGGGCACATGTGAAGTTTCCCAAAACCACTGAAAAATCAGCAGACCTGGCGTGAGGTGGGTAGCACACTGTTGTTTCAGGGCGGCTGTGACCCCCAGTGCCAGCCTGCCTGCCATCTGCTGGGCAGGGACCCAGTCTCCTCAGCCTCCCAGTTCTGCCAGAAGGAAGCAAGGAGACATTTGTGGGGAGGCCGCGGTGTTTGTGATGCCAAAACAGGCATCCAAATGGGACCCAGTTCTGGGGGCCCCCTGGCCTGAGCTTTAATAAGTTTGGGGGGATTAAGGCCAGGGATCTGGGAGCTTTCTGGTTCCAGCCACTGCCCTGCACATCTTCAGGGTTTGTGTGGCTCCCCACCACCACCACATTTACCCACTACTGGACGTGGGTGCGAAGGCACGCGGCAGAGCAACGGCTCAGCCAGCACCCCTCTCCACGGCCCCTCCTAACTTTCCCCCTCAAACTCTGGGATCCCCATGTTCTCTCCTCCCACCCGTCTTTTCCTGCTTTTCCATCAGAAGGAGGCTGAGAACCAGGACAAAGGTCCATCTGAGGCCACCAAATATGTGTGTCCAAGTGACCGATGTCCACATGGACTTCCTTAGACCCAGAAGATGGCAGCGACCACGGCCAACAGGTGCTTCGCGGCCGCACGGACCACTTGGGCATTTTCTGGTCTGGGTTTTCTGGGCGCAGAGGACCACCTGTCGCAGGTGCTGCCGTGCACGCAAAGCCCACCACCGGCGTTCCCAAAGGCCGCAGCCGGCGGCGCGGACGCGTCCCTGGGCGAGCGCTCCTGCCGGGCCGCCGCGGGGGACGGGGACGGGGACGGGGACGGGGCGGGAGGAGATGCTGCCAGGCCCGGCTCCGCGCGGCCGAGGCGTCCGGAGGCGGCGCCCCGGGCGGCGGCAGGAGGGCGGGCTCGGCGGGCGCGCTCACCTGGCCCGCAGGAAGCCGGGCGGGGCGGGGCGCGCGCAGGGCCGGAGGAGCCGGCGCCGCCGCCAGTCCCCGCGCCGCGCGCCAGCGAGGACGAGCCTCTGGCCCCGGCGGCCCGCGTCTGCCCCCCCGGACGGCGGCGCGCCGCGGGCCCGGGCGGTGGAGGGAGCCTGGACCCCGGGGCGGCCTCGGAGCAGCGAGCGCGGTGGGTGAGCCTCGCCGCGGCGGGTGGCCGGCGCTTTGTCTCCGCGCCCTCGGGGCCGGGACCGGGTGATCGGGCACCGGGGGGGCCGGGCAGGGCCGGGGCGGGCGCCGGGCGGCGGCTCAGGTGGCGGGCAGGTGGCGGCCTCCTTGCGAGGGTGGGCGCTGGGCCCCCACAGCTACCCCTGGGGCCGGGGTCTCGGCCTGAGCGCACGGCCCGGGCTTGGGCTGGGGGGGGGAGGGAGTGGAGTAAAGGGGTGGGAGGTGACAGAGGTCAAAGAGGCCGCCCCGGGCGGTAGGCGATGGCTGCCTGCGGCGACCTGAAGGGCAGGCTGGGGTCCCTACCAGCTTAAAGTGCTTCCTCAATTCACACCGAGCCCAGGGACGACCCCCGCCCCAGAACAAGTGGACAAGTGGTTTCCCTTTGAGCACCGAGGGCAGTGACACGAGACTCGCCCAGCTTCCGCTTTCGCAGGGCCTGTCTGGGCTTGGCTCGCGCCTCCTGCAGCCCCCTTCGCCCCCCTGTAGGCCTCCTGCAGCTACCTGCACCCCTGTGAACCCTTCCTGGGCTCACCTGCAGCCACCTGTGCCCCCTGTAACCTGCCTGCAGCCACCTGTTCCCCTATAACCTGCCTGCAGCCACCTGTGTCCCCTGTGACCTGCCTGCAGTCACCTGCCCCTCCCTGTAACCACCTGGGCCCCAGTGCAGCCACCTGAGTGCCTGGCCCCGTGGGCCAGTCCGGGCTTGGTGGACCAGAGGGTGCCGTATTTCACTCCCTGAGCCCAGGTGGCTGGAGCTCTGGGGGAATGCTGGTGGGGCAGCAGTATCTCTTTTAGTTTAGGGTCTACTTTCACCCCCATTTTGGAAGGTGCCGTAGGGCTTGGGAAAACAGTTCTAAGTTTCTTCGGTGGTTTGGGTAAGACGGCAGGAAATCAGTGCGTTCTGGCTCCTGGCTCTGTTTTCCAGTTGTGACAAAGTGGGAATCAACACCGTGTTCTTTTTGTCTCTGAATTGGTGGAAGGGCTGTGAGGCAGCCGGAATGGGTTGTGAAGAGTGTAAATGTGGTTCTGGTGTGGGGCGCCCCTGGCTGTTCTGGCAACACCTGGTAAGCAGGAGAGGTTTTTGGAGGAAGGAAGCTTTAGTATGCATCCTATTTAAGACTTGCGGGTTTGGGAGATTTTAGCCTAACAAGTTCAGGGAGACATTTTACCCGCTGTGTCCCACAAGTCAGGCACCATCCTGAATGGGGCTCAGTCCTGCACCACCAGCCACCTGTCCGTGTGGTGGGGCCTTCGTAGACATCGAGGCCTCCAGTGGAGGTGGGCTGAGTGGTCGGCAAGGAGGCCAGCAGCCTCAAAGCACAGGTTTCCAACAGCCAAAAGAAAGCACCCATCGGAAGTTTTTTTTTTAAGTGGGATAAATAAAAACCAGAAGTGAAAGAGTCCAGTTAAAAACTATTGTGAAATACTGGTTAACTGTCACTCCCAAGGATTTAACTGTTCTGAGGATCCCTACTTCTATTAACTCATTGTTAAACAAAAGCTATTTGCACAAATCTACTTTGAAAATCTTTCTCAAGTATCCTCTTTCTGCCCAAAGCTAAGAAAGGTTAAGAGAAGTCCCCCGTCCTCTGATTTGGCACCGGCCAGCCGCATCGGGCTCTGGCTGGCGGCCCCGCCGTCCTCTGAGTGGGGGCGGCGCCTAGGTTCCTGGTGAAAGCGTCCCCTGAAAGTGGAACAAGAGCAGAGACCCACCTGTTTTGCGTTTTTCCTATTGCTGCCTGAAATTAAAAATGCTAATTGAAGGCTCTTCTGTTAGGTTTATATTTTCTCTCTAGATTCTTTAACCATTTGACACTCTTAGGATTAGCAACTGCCTTTTCTACCCAGATAGCATTTGTTGACCGTGTACATATTGCATTGCTAGGCTCTGTTCTAAAAGATTTATATGGAGACGAAACCACGGAACAGAGACTTCCTGGGACGCACAGGATTCTGTCCCAGGGGTCCGCCACCAGCCCTTAGCTGCTCCCCTGCACACTTTGTGACTGGGACACTCTGCCGACCTGGCAGAGCCACCTTCCGTTTTCTCTTTTTTCTTTGAAAAATTCTAGCACCGACCAGTGACCACGCCCAGAGAACATGCTTCCTCCTCAGAATGACCTGACAGTGGGGCACCGCCGTCATGTGTCTGCCATACTCTCCTTGACTTCCTTAGTTCTCAATAAGGAGAAAAAATATTCTGATCACTTAGTATAATTTTTAATACATAGTCATTAAGCACTGAGACACTTCTTTTGGTCCATTAGAGCCACTGAAGGAAGCTGAAATTGGCCTGCATGTGGGGGCCCCAGGGGTTGGGTTAACAGAATAGGAGACATACAGGGAGACCATGATGTGCCCGCTAAGCATGGGTGCTGGACCAGCGGCTGGTCCAGGTTGCTGAGCCACTTCAAATGACCACCCAAATGTGTGGCAGCCAGGCATTAACCAGAGAAACAGAAACGGAAGGAGATACCCGTAAGTGACTTACTGCGGGAATTGGGGCTGACCAGGCAAGTCTCTCATCGGGAGGGCAGGCCTGTGGGCGGGTGGGGTGCTGGGACGCTGCGCATGAGCTGACGTCACCTTGCTGAGGATTTTGCTTCTAAGTTCATGAGTGATAACTGGTCAGTGGTTCCCATTCTTTAAGTGGTAGCCTGGGTGATATGGGCTGCATACAATGAGTTAGGAAGTTTTCTCTCCTGTACTGATTGCTGAAATAGACTAGAATTGGCATTAATTCTTCTTCATATGATTGATAGAGTTTTCTAGTGAAATCATCTGAGCCTGGAAATTTTCGGGTTGGGGGTATTTTTATCGCAAATTCAATTTCATTAGTAGTTATGAGATTATTCAGCTTATTTATTCCGTCTTCGTTGAATTTTGGTAGTTTGTGTGTTTTGAGGAACTGGCTTATTTGTTGTAGAATTCATGAGTGTAACACTGTTCATAGAGCCCCTCATTATCCTTTTAGTAGCCACAGAGTCTGTAGTGATTCCCCTAGGTTCCTTCCTGAGAGCGGTCTTCTCTTTTTTATGTGTCAGTCTTGCTAGACAACTGCCGATTTTATTTATTTTCTTCAAAGAACTAGCATTTTATTTCACTGATTTTTCGCTACTGTTTTCCTGTTTTCTTTTTCACTGGTTTCTGCTGTTTTCTGTTTCCCTCCTTCCACTGTCTTTGGATGTATTTAGGCTTTTTCTATTTCTCAGAGTTGGAACTTAGATTGTTGACTTGAGACCTTTCCTTTGTTCTGATGTAAGAATTTAGTGCTACATATTCCCCTCTCAGCACGACTGGCGCTATGCGAGTATTTTAATGAGTAAGTAAAGCTTTAGAAACCGAGAGAGAGAAACAGGCTAATTGCCCACATGCAGGGTTATGGATATATACTATGACAAAGCGACAGAAGTTAGTGAATTACCCAAAACTTCACGTAACATAGGTAAAATTCAAAGGAACTGTGTCGAGTGGAAAAGAGCAAGTTGCAAATGAATGAATCATTCTATTTACTGGAAGATTTTAGAAGAACAAAAGAACATGAGTCGTGATCCCGTGCGTATATAGTGAATACAGAAATCCAGCAAAGGGGGGCTACCTGCCGGCCCAGGGGGGCTGCATGCCGCTCTCTCGTCTGTACAGGAGGCAGAGGATTTGCTACAGCTTTGTTGCTCTATTTTTTAAAAATATTTTTGAAATTTTAGACAAGAGAATGTGTTCGTTTTTTTCAGGGAAGAGGTAAACAAATTGTGTATTACTTTCTGTACTTTTATTGCTCTAGTAATAGTTTATATTAACACTAAATAGACCAATGTAAAGTTTGGGGAGTGAGGTGACGGGAAAAGCTGGGCAGGTCAATGGCCACAAAGGAGAACCTGCAAGTAGGTGTTGGGTTTCAGTTACTAAAATTAGGTAAGAGGGAGGCAGGAAGTCCTCACTGGCTTCCCACCGGGTGTCCAGGGCCCAGCATGTCCCAGGCTGCGACTTGTCTGTCTGCAGGGGTGGCTGGCCAAGGGCAGGGACATTGAAGTAACCAGAAAAAGGGTCCTTAATTGATTTCCTTTTAAATTAATCCCCTTTCTCTGAGAGGGAGGGGGTTAACGTTCAGCTCACCCATTTTCCAAGACAAAGGGAAAAATGAGGCTTTATTCACAATAAGCAATCAACCAAATTACGTATTTGGTTTTATAGTGAAGACTAATATGTAAACTATATCACAAGGCAGATGACAAAGGAGAGAGGGCATGGGAAGATGGGGCAGGTGGCAGGGGTGGGGGAGGGGCAGGAGGGGAGGCAGGCCTTCCCAGTGGCTAAGGGCCTGGGCGTTGGTCACTCCCCACACACACCCCTGACATGTGCACCTGATGTGCACATACATCCCGGACACTCACACACCCCTGACACGTGCACATCCCTGACACACCCTGACACTCACCCTGACATTCACGCATTCTGACACACGCCTCTGACACACACACCCCGCCCCTCCCCTTAAAATGTTATTTTAAGTAAGGCTTAATCCTCTGAACTTCTCACCACAGGGGTTTATTTTTATGTGACATCTTGGTTCACATATATATATTTTTTATGACATATACGATGTCATACATGAAAGACCGAACGTCCCTACTCCCTACAAACATTTATTTTCTAGAAGGACACAGGGAAGTACAGTGATGGTGTCCACACTGGACCCCAGTGAGAGCGGCCTGCTGCTTGGCCAGGGTCCAGCCACCTTCATCTCTCTGGGCCCCTCAGCGGCCGGTTCCCCAGTGGGGAAACCTGAGTCCTCAGGCCTGCAGGCCTGGGTGAGGGTGTCAGATCCTGTGCCTTCTCCACCTGGACCCTTGAGGCATGACAGCCGGCCACGCCTGCCCTGCCCTCGGGCATCCCTCCAGCCATCCTGGCCTTTACCTCCTGAGTCAGAGGCCCCTCTGGCCCCCACCAGCCCCACACAAGCAT